AAAGAGTGTGTCCCTCGTGGAAATAACTGGAGGTGAGGCGGGGTGGGGAAGGCTGGGACGAAGAATTTGGATTTTATGATGTTGGCAATGGGGATCCTTAAGAGAAATGCAAGCAGTTCAATGATGAAATCAGAACACCTGCCACTAACAAAGTGTATACCTTTGGAAAGTTATTGTTTCTCTAGGGGACTCCGTTTCTGTATCTATAAATCAGAGATATTACCCACTTCCCAGTTTGCTGTGGGGCCTTGTTGACAGAGGAGGAATGACTGATTCGTCGTCACCTGTGGAGCAGAGCTGTAAGAGAAGGATGTGTGTATTGGAAAGCTTAAGCTTTCCTACCTGATCCCCTAGGTGAGTAGTACCTGATCCCACTTTCTGAAAAGTGGGCGGTTTCTTCGCACTGCCCCTCCTTCTTTCTCCCCTCCCCGGCCCCACACCTCCACCCTCTCTTCCCTCTTCCCTATTTATCTTCCTTCTTGGGAACAGATGACATATCCAGCAGATATGGCGTGGAGCTCAATAAATAGGACTGACAGGCCTAAGATTCAATCCTCAAATCAGGGAAAGAATCTGAGCTATGTATCCAGATTAAAGGGCTGTAGGACTTCCCTGGTGGTACAGTGGTTAAGAATCCGCCTGCCAGTGCAGGGAACACGGGTTCGAGCCCTGGTCTGGGAAGATCCCACATGCCACGGAGCAGCTAAGCCCGTGCACCACAACTACTGAGCCTGCGCTCTAGAGCCCTCGCACGACAACTACTTAAGCCCGCAACGAAGGAATCAGCCACCGCAATGAGAAGCCCGTGCACCACAACGAAGAGTAGCCCCCGCTCACCGCAACTCGAGAAAGCCCGCGTGCAGCAACGAAGACCCAACACAGCCAAAATTAAATAAATAAATAAATTTTCTTTTAAAGGGCTGTAAATATTTTCGTAATTCTAACAGAACTTTGCCCTGTTCTACAATCTTAGCGCTTGCTCCGTGCTGACTTCATCCCCTCCCATGAAGATATGGTCTGTAATCCTCGCTCTAGTCCTGCACACTTCCTTTTACCCCAGGCGCTCGCTAGGTGAATTCATTTCCAGTCTTTGGTAAAGGGAAGGCTTCTGCGTCCCCTGGTGGTCAGAAATGGAAACGGTAAGCTAATCAGAAATCGCATTCCACCTCCTTTCCTTAACAAATTTTTGTTAATGGAGATAGCTGAGTTTCCGCGCTTCAGGAAAAGAGAGTCTTCTGAGGGGACAGATATGTGAACAACTCTTTACATTAGACGTCTGAAAAGGACCACAGGAAATGATCAAGGATGGCCATTCAGCCTCTGCCTGAATGCATTTTAATTTTTTCAGTTTTTTCAAACACTCAAGCATCTTCTCTGGTTGAACAGTTCCAACTGTTGTTTAAAAGTGTTTCGTTATATGAAACAAAAATTTTCCTTCCTATAACTTCCACCACTATTTCTTGCTCTTTGCCTTTGTCCAAACATTTAAGAAATTTAATCTGTCCTTCACAAGACGGGCTTTCCATGAAGGGACAGTAGCTATGGAGCCACAGAACGATTGCTGATACATAGCCAAGAAGACTGAGTTCTAGACACAGTTTCTGCCACAAAACAGCTGTCACTTGACATCACACAATCTTTTGTCTCATCTGTGAGGTAAGGAGGCTGATCAAAACTAGTGATTCTCGAACTTTTCAAGATCAAGAACATCATACATTCTTTATTTTCATTTGTGGATATCTTGTTTTGAATGAGTCCATATCCCTTAGAAAATACATTTACTAGGTAATCAGAATTTGGTTTCCTCAAACTCATAGATACAGAGAACAGATGATTGCCAGAGATGGGGGCGGGGAGCAAAATGGGTGAAGGGAGTCGAAAGGTACAAACTTCAAATTATAAAAAAAGTAAGTCCCGGGGATATAATGTACAGCATGGTGACTATAGTTAATAATACTGTATTGTATATTTGGAGTTGCTAACAGAATAGATCCTAAACGTTCTTATCAAGGGTCCTCTCTGCTACTGTCAAACTTGTTTTTATAAACTCCTATTTTATATTTTATTTTGGTATATCAGTCTTGAGTACTTTATTGTCAGGTCTTCATTGGTAACCCCCTTCCCTGTGACAGTACAGTGTGTGCTCAATTTTGGAGCACGGAAAATACATGTACTTGTTTTGTACCTGTAGTTTGGATATATAATTGACATCTTTGTGCTTTGGTCTTTCAAAAATTTTAAGGCTTGGGCTTCCCTGGTGGCGCAGTGGTTGAGAGTCCACCTGCCGATGCAGGGGACACGGGTTCGTGCCCCGGTCCGGG